TAACTTGCCCAAAAATTGTTTGACATCGTCGATTAAGGTTGAAATCGACCTCCGCGCCCGAAACTATAAGATTCGAATTCAAAAGCGTTTAAAGACCGGGTAAGACAGAGGGTTTTACACTGTGGTTTTGCACTCAGAGTACATCGAAGGCAACACGCAACTTGCGAATCGTGAATGGTGACCGCTTGGATCTTACCGGGAACTGCAAAATGAGCTTTCGGTGTACGTACGTAATGTAACGTACGTTCGAGCGGAATGTGTAGATTTTGACGCTTTAAACGCCCGCTAAAAAGACAATCCATTTTCGCTACGGTAAAGACTGCCAAACGAATATCCCCCTCAATGCAGGAAATCGCTCCCGATTCGAAACACCACTTTTCCTGGAGGTTCATTTCCCAGATGTATCCTCCAAATCCAAGATTTCCAAGAAAAAGCGGTGAGAAATATTTGGGGTCGGAGCGGCTGAATGAATGTTGCTGTGGGGATGAGGGGCTCTCGGAGGGTGCCCTGGGGGATCATACTGGAGGGAAAGAAGGAGCCGAAGAGGTGATTGGAGAGGTGAAGTGGCCACGAAATGAGATCCTCATCCTCGGGTTTTTCAAAAGATGGAAAGCGTCTTATGGAAGCTGGTAGACAGGCAGATTTTGGGTGGACAAAGGTTGGACCCAGCGTTGATGGAATCGCTTCAGAATGGTGCTGAAGATTTGTTGGCATGCTGCGAATCTGACCGGGCTAATTTTCCAAACCAAGTCGATTAGTTGTAATCATCGGAATTGCCAGCGAATTTTAAACATGAAATGCCCTAAGTTCTCAAAGTAAAACTACTGATATTTTAGAGCCATAAATTCAAAAAGCCGCCACTAAATGGTACAAACTTTGGGTGTCATGCTCTCCTAGCAAAAAGAGAGCGAGAGATGGAGACGGTTATCAAGAGAGACAGAAAGAGAGAGAGGGAGACAGAGAGAGAGAGAGCGAGAGCGAGAGAGAGAGAGAGAGTGAGAGAGAGAAAACGCGACAAGCCGAGACTCAGCGATCAACTCATTTCACGCGGCAAAAATCGCAGCGAAAATGGAATTACTGAAGCCAGCAAAGATTCGGTTATGGCAGAGACCTCTAAGGCAAGGCGACCGGAAATTGGTAACCGATGCACTGCAAATTTGAAGTAAAAACTAAGCGTCAAGGGAGAAGTAAGCTAATTTGAAAATAGGCCTGGTCCGACGGTGTGTTAGGGCCACCTAACTTCCGGATCGCCTACAAAAATTCTCAAAGAAATTTAGACAGATTCGAACATAGCCTGCGTAAATAAGTTCTAAAGGAATTTTTCGCCAAATGGAACCTCGTGTAGTCCTATCCACCTCAACCCCTCCACATGAAGATTCCGTCGGACAACAAAAGCCGGATTAGGCCCTAGGGGTCGGTGGGAGGAAGATTCTGTTCTCGGAGACCTTAATCCCCATCCGGATCGCCGAGTTTTTGTACCCAGGTGTAAAAAGGTAGGTGTTGTGTCGGTATTTCCGGACAAATACGTGTACTGGAGGAGCTTCTTTTGTAAGAGTTGGGTGGGGTACTGTATGTACCCCGGAAATAGAGGATTTGGGTTGGAAAGTGCAAAACAAATTGCAAGAAAAGTACATCTTTCTTCCTTAAATTTCTCTCTCTATCCCTCTCGCTCTCTCGCTCTCTGCCGCTCTCCCGGTCTCTCTCTTGCTCACGCTCAGCCACTCTCTCTCTCCCTCTCTCTCTCCCTCCCTCTCTCTGGCCTGGGTCCAAAATACGCAATCGACCCCAATTTTTTCACGCAATATACCCCGGAAGGCGTTGGGCAAACTTTGCGATTGATGAAGACGGAATTGGGTGCAGGAGGAAGCCCTAGAATCGAGATTCGGGAGGTTGCAAAAAGTGATGAGGGAAGCCAGATTCAAGTCTTTTTTTTATTGCTAATCTGTCCCGAATCTGGAGGAGTTTCCGGGATTTATTGATGATGTGTGCGTTTGGAGATTTGATAATCGGTGGGCGGCTGGGAAATGAAATGTTGAGGTTCTGCACTGAAAAATCAAAGAGCTACCGATCAAGCTGGTTAATCTATCGAAAAAAACTGCCAATTATTAAAGATAAAGAAGGTAAAACACAGCTATTGCTAAAATTCGCACAGGCTTGGTTTTCAAAAATCCATGCTTTTGGCCATTTATTATTTTTTTTAAATCATGCCATCAGGCCGCCGGCTAAAGATCTGACTTTTCGTGAGATAACAGTTGACCCCTAGAATTTAGGCCAACCGCTTGTAAATTGTTCTCATAAAACTAAAGCCGGGGCCTGTTTATCAGAAATTTTGGGGGTGTGCATGACCCTAAATGTTGCCGACGGTTTTGAGCCGTTTAAATGTTTTTGTACCTACTTCGCCATTATTGGGTAGGCACCGTAAGGGTGGGGGGGGGAAAGCTGCGAATTAGTCCTAAAATATAACATATTTTATGATAAAGTATAACAAGCGCAAGAACATTGTAATTATACGAGAAGCGACGTTTCAGGAACATGTATGCAACGACTTCCTCAGCCGCATAAGTAGTTATTAAAAATGAACGACACGGCGAGAGTTCCTTGTAAAGTAAGAACGCAAAATCAATTTTTCAGGTTTACGTGGTTGGTCAAATTTTAAATTTTACTTCATACCGTAGAACCCTGTTCAAATCATTTGGTCTAACGCCCTGAATTTACACAAACGCGGCACTCCTATCAAACAGCGAACTAGTCGATTGCATAATACGACCAAACGCTCAAGGAAAATCGTCCGGCTCTCAAATTCTACGATCGTGAAGGAATATGGAGGGCAAGCCACTTATAGGTTCTCGGTCTCAAATTTCGGTGGCCGGTCTGCCTTTTGGTGGGTGGTGGCTTTTCCTATTCCTGGGCGGCCACCCTAAAAAGCGGGGCCTCGATTTCAAATTTCCGCCAAATAACCCAAAGCACCCCGAAAGCAGCAATAAGAGGGAGGGAAAGGGACAGAGAGAGAGAGAGAGAGAGAGAGAGAGAGAGAGAAAGAGCGAGAGAGAGCGCGAGAGAGCGCGAGGGAAAAACGAATGACCACCGAGAAATCAAATACCCGCCAATTTTTTCGGGCTGGCCGCCGGACTACCGCCGGAAAGGGGCTAAAAATAGTAGACCTAAGGGATGTGGTTGAGACGATGTTTGCCTTCACAGGAATTGGCTCTATTTTTAAGACAGGATTGGAAAAAAGTTACGAATTAGCATGCATTCTATGATGGAACGTGAGACAAACCAATCATCGTCTAGTGTTTTAATATGCAGAACAAGAATCGGGGCTGCAAAAAATTGACATAGAGGGCCAGAAACCCATGACTATAGTAATTCGGATCCTTTGTAGACAGAAGGCGTCAGAATATTGGTTTTTGACTTTTAAAGGAACGAGCAAGGGTTCCCAAGTATTTCGTTTCTGTGGATTTCCTACTCACCATACTAAAGAGGCGATAGGCAGCGTAAGCCACACCCTTTCACGGCGTGACTGATTACGAGCATATCACGACAAAAAGGCCGCGCGCGTCGCAGGTCGCGGCTGCAATGCGTGTCGCGGGACAGATCAATCCATAAAAGCTGCGGATATTTCTTCAAGCAAAAGATGGTACTATAACCCTGGCGTTAATAAGGGTGAAAAGGTACATATGTACCTTGACCCGATACCATAATAAAACCAAGCGCTCTGAAAAAGACTATACGCTTTTCGATCCAGGCTACTGAGCAGAGACGCTTGAGGAATTTCAAGAGTTCAAGATTTTCCGATCCGTTTTTCTCCAAATCCTTTGTTGAGCGGCAATTTATTAATGGGGTAGAATAAAAATAAATAAGTTTAAAGGAGCGCGTTAAAAGGAGTTGAATTCCAGAACGCAGGGGGCAAGCAAGCAAAGACGCTTTGAGCGTCACGCTATACTTTTTGAGTTTTGATGATGTTTGCGATGGGCTTGATCGTAAAACCAAAACTTTGATGTTTCAGGAAAAATCCGGCCACTGCCAATAAAGGATTGTTCAAGATAAAATTGAAAGAAAGCAAGGGGATCAGGATGGCCTTAAAACGTCAGTGAAATCTATGCAAATTTCCGAAAGCCAGAAGTTCAGAAATCCTCCTCGTGCTCCACTTGCTCATGATGTTTACCCCCAAAAAGCACAAATGGCCTAACCATCTTCTTGGTGGGAACGAGAAGGGGGAAGGTGATGAGTGAAGTGGAAGTGCTAGGTAGCCAGGCAGCCAAAAATCACCGCCACTGCAAGGGGAAAGCCGTGTTGGTGTCAGCTGGTCTTTTCGTCGCCTCCTCCGCCCCATCATTCGCCGCACTTTTATCTGAATTCTGGCCCGTTGCCGCCAATTTTCGGGTCCTAGATTTATCGCCCGTTCGAGGCGGGAGGAGCTACTGAATGTGAGTTTTATGTGGCTAAAAGTGGGTGCCAGGAAGGTGATTGGATTTATCCGCATGGGATCAGGGGCCGAAAAATGGGTTACGGACGGGATACGGTAGGTTGTTGTGGCCATGTTTTAGGAGAATAGTCACGTAAGAGCATAGGGCGGGAGAGAGCAATAGATAGAGAGAGAGCGAGAGAGAGAGTGAGAAGGATAAGGTGAGAGAGAGCGAGAGCGACAGAGCGGGAATCAGAGAGCGGTCGAGTGCGTGAGGGAGAGATTGCTATAGAGCAAGAGAAAAAGAAAGGGTGAGCGCGAGAAAGATAGCGAGAGAAAGAGAGAGAGAGAGAGAGAGAGAGAGAGAGAGAGAGAGAAAGAGAGAAAGGAAGAGAGAGAGTGAGAGAGAGAGAGAGAGAGAGCAGACAGGGTGAAAAGAGAGGCGCATAAGATGTTTAGCGACCCGTACGCGCGGGCCGGCTTTTGATGGCGACGTCCCTTTAAAGCGACGAATCAAAGGCAGTATTGTGCATTTTCTCAACCTCAAATAGTTTGTTAACTATTTATTAAATTCCATTCCATAAATCTTCCTCTACAATTTGCTCTTGGCGCTCTTCATCATCGGCATCAGGTGCTTCTCGACGGCGGGAAGGACCTGGAAAGTGCAATCGGTTTCCTGAACCAAGCAATTTGTTGGTTTCGGTTGTTGTGGTCGTTCCTCTTCTTTTAGGCTTCGTTGTCTAATAGTCAAGTTAGGGGCTTGGGACCCACGGATCAAATGTCTTCAGAATTCCCAAAGCTAGCGCCGGGGCTGATTTGCATAAAACAGAAATAGAACTCTCTAAAGCCCTGATTTCTGGACTATAGTCAAACCACAGAATCACAAACATTTTAAGAACGTCCGATTTAGCAAAAGATACCTCAACATTGTTTAACGGATTGCTCTGGGCCCATTTGAGCAGGTTGTCATACACATTTCCATCACGACGTCCTAGCACACTACGAAGTTCCGTGTCGGAGACCTCGTAAGCGTCAACCTCAAAATGGTAGGTAGCATAATAACGAAAAAAAGATGAAAATATCAAGATAATTTGAAACTTACATAAGAAACGGCGTTGGGTCGGATTTTAGCCAGCAGTTTGTAGAGGACATCCTTCACTTGAGCAATCTGGGCTCCGGTGGCGTAGCCTCCCTAGAAAGCCGATCATTGTCGTTCTCGCGCGCTCTCTCTCTCTCTCTCTCTCTCTCTCTCTCTCTCTCTCTCTCTCTCTCTCTGTTTTCTAAACTTTTCCTACCTCCAAAAGGTACTGGCTCATGTCGATGACCTCATAGCACAAATGCAAATGCAAAATGTCTTGAAGTGCCGCCCTGATTTTCGGGTCCTGAATCCGATTGACACGGTCTTTGAAGCAAACTGCAATCCAAAGCCTGGTATGGGTCCGGGACGCCTGAAAACCCGGTCATCAAAATAGCAGGTGAGGTATCGTACCCTAGTCAACTCGACAGCATTCTCATTCCAAGCATCTTCGTCCGAGAGTCCGGATTCTTTGAGGGAATCGAGACGAGCGCTCACGCGCTGGATCGTGGTCCTGGCGATGTATTCCATGGCTTGGATGAGAGTGTCTTCTGAAACGATAGGTAGAGAGGTAAGCGAGCGAAAGAGTGAGGGAGATAGGGAAGAAAGAGAGAGAGAGAGAGAGAGAGAGAGAGAGAGAGCGAGAGAGAGAAAGAGAGACCGAGAGAGGGAGCTCGCGACAACTTACCAATCTTCGACCCGGCCTCGGCAAATCGGAATCTCCGGTTGCTGTTATTTCCAAGATATTTCAACATGCTGGTCAATTCCTCGCCTTTAGCTAGCTTTTGCACGCCTTTTACAAGGTATCTGGAAATTACAGGGGCCTTTAAACACGATTTTTACTGATACCTAGCCTGTTGCTGCAGCATTACCATGTTTTCGCCTTCGTACGTGCACCCGGCTACTTCCACGGCTAAAAGATCGAGGCTATGAGGTAAAAAATGATGATGCACCGTAGATTTCCGGCAATCCACTAGCGTGTGAGTATCCATGGCCACCACAAGCCATCCGGCACTGTTCGATGCCTTTTCCGGCATCGAACGAGACAACGGACTTCATGCCGGAGAGGAGAGCGTGTAGGTCAGCGAGTTGATCGACCTGAAGTACGTAATTTACGATGTTTCGTATCATTAAATCTTGGCAGTTACTGTGCTACGTGCTAAAACAAGCACCTCCTTTTGGTTTTCCTTATTCCTCTAAGAGCTCTGCTGATTGCCCATGGTTTTTTTTTCGCTTTCTTAGGCTTGTTCAAAATTTCTTTAACAAAAATAACTGCCAAAAGATGCGCAAGAAATCAGAAGAAGATTATCGTGAGCGGAAACAGACATTTCCCTGTTTCACATCCTCAGCGATCCTCTCGTAGATCTGCTTGATCTCCTGCCCGACAAGCCAATAGGCAAAGCCCCTGGCCATGGCGGTGAAAAGTCGATGCTGCTGCGTTTGATAGTCCAGGATTTTGACTTCACCGGCCCTTAAAACAATAAATAAAACAAATATGTAGACTATGAATTACCCTCGGGTGATCTCGCCTTGCTTCCTGATACACGAATATCGAATCGCAATTGTCGAAGCTTTCAGGAGACTGTGTGCCTGGAAATCAAAGTGGAATCTTGCAAGTTGTAGTTCGTAGTCATACCAGCATTCGAATCATTGTTGCCCTGACGAAAATCATGGCGCCATAGGAGAGTTTCGGATGGACTGGTGGGGAATAGGTGCCTTCAGGGGATACCTTAAAACACGAAATGTTGTATTGGATATGGATACGATACCTTTGAGTGTCTCATCAACATACTACGACGCGGGATTCTGACATGGTCAAATTTCAGGAACCCGTTGTCATTAGTGTTGAGGCCGAATTTGGGGCCAATGTCCCCGACGGTGATGCCTAAAACAGTTTTACAAGCTTTAGCAAAAGTCACACAATCGCCTTGCCCCACAGCCACTGATTCCGCAATGATCCGTATTGACCCGTTTCAAAAAAATACCTGGCATTGGCTGATGCGTCTCCTCGTCGCGAATCCGGACGAAAAAGTTGTGTGGTCCATAGTTCTTGCCGTCAATGTAGAGCTGAGCGTTGGCGACGACAACGTTTGCCGTTTTGCCAAGGTTTCCGGGCCACCTAGAGGTACCATTTTATTGAAGGGGTCGTGTAAGACAATGCTGCTAAGCCGATGTGACCTTGTTTAAAGCGCACGTTCAGGGAGGGGCCGTGTACTCGTCCCAACGTGTACACCCTATGGACGTAGGGACCGCGCGCACTGCCTGCCCGTGCCGTGGCAGGCAATTTCCCCCTCCTTTGCGGCGTGGGGGCCCCTCAACCCCTCGCCAGGTTGTAGCTGTGATTGACTGTTATTCATCCGCGCCTCCCGAGCAGGGGGCCCGGGTTCGACCCCCGGCCGCGGCAAAAATGTTTGCTTTTTCCAAAAAAAACGTCCCTGAACGTTCCATTTAAAAGTTAGTGTCATGTAGATCAACCGAAGTTCACTTCAAGCCCCCACCATTTGTACGCTGAGACAGTCGGCGTATTCAAAACGAATTCCTGAGTATTCTTGTCGTAGGTCGCTGTAGTTTCAAGGGCCCTCAAATTCGTTCCATGGCCAAGTTCCGTTTGCGCGTAGGTGCCAATGAATTGGAGTTGAATTGCCTGAAAAGCAAAGTTATCTTCTTTGTTCGGATCCATAAATTTGTCATATCAATTTTTAGCTTTCAAACGGAGCTCGAGAGTCGTAAAAAATTCTTGAGATTGACCCTGGCGTTTCGTTTCGAATTATAAAAGACCAATCCTCACCTTATGGACCCATTCCTCAGCCTGTTCATCATCGGCCTGACCCTGGATGGCTGGCAGAAACATTACAAAGTGGATGGAGAGCGGGAAACCGTCATCACCAAAGGCTTCGCTATAATAATTGGTTGATTTACGCATTTTCAGATCTTTGTAAACTACAAACTGCAGGCTACAAAACACAGCTAACTAACCAAACAAGGTGTCCCATCTCATCGCGATTCGTGATATCAGCAATTTCCGAGGCTCCCTCCATCACTGCTACCGTCTAAAATTAGCATTTTCAAGGTAGTTTTTAAAGTATTTGGCTTTAACTTTTTAAATTTAGGTTTAAATAAGGAGACATATTCGATAAATATTTTTTGTATTTTCACCTTCCGCATCGAATTGGCCACCTTCGTCGGCCTGTCCATGAACACGTGCGGGTAGGGGTCAAGGAGCTCGGGCATTTTCAGGACTGCCGCTGACAGCTCGCGGCGTCGTTTGGCGAATGTGGCTAAAATTAGAGCTCCGAGTTATTTTTAAGCAGAGTAAATCAAAAATCCATCCTTAACTTTATTCATGGCTTCCCCGATCAAATTAGCACAAAAACGTACGTCCATATAGCTCATCGGCCAGTGCTTCCGTGCTAAAAGTTGCCTTTTCACGTTCTTCGGTAATTAGCGGATTGTCTCCCTCCCGAATCTGGTGGTTCAAAGCCATTTTCGGAAGCCGATTTGGTTTAAAACCCGCGTCTAAAAATGCGGAAAAATGATTGGATTTTCCTAAAAAAGTGATTAAATAGAAAAGAAGGCAAGGTAAGCGAAAAAGTCTTGAGTATTTATTAACAAAAAATTCGTAGAAAATAACGCACTTTAGATCGAAGCGGAAACAATAGAATCCTATTATGGCGGGGAAAAGGCGAAAACTGCAGGTGCGCTTGGTTCAATCAACCCCCTTATCAGGATATCCAAACGAGGGGCTGGAAAGAGGCGACGCAGGGTGCACACTACAAGGTTGTCGTCCATATGGCCCGCCTATCACTCGAACGGATACTAGTGTAGTTTTGTATGCTTTCACTCGGTGGATTCGTCATAGGTTTTGCAGGAAAACGTGTATTCGAAAAGCAATAGATAAATTCAAAAAGCTACGCCTTTAATTTAACCATGGAAAAATCCATGTCCTTGGACAATCAAAATAAAATAAATTTTGAGCGGGATCTGAAAGTAATTTGCTTGAAGCCGGCAGCCTAAGTCTAATACTAAGCGTTTAAGCGTCTTTAACAAAATTTAAACGCACAGAGAAACCGGAAGCTTTGACCCCAGAAGTCGACATCCAAGTATCCAGATCCTGCTGGTTTACCTGGGTTAAGCCCCGCGACAGTTTTGGACACTTTTTAAGAGCCAATGGACGGATCCCGTTGAGAGAATGGCTTTTTTCACTACTTTTTTTCAGATCAAGCTTCGTAGGTCTTTTTGGAAGTCATCTTACACAACAACTGAACTCTGTTAAGACGCCCACCGCTTCTTTTTAGCTTCCGCGTTTAAGCGTGGCTTTTTATGGTTAGCCGGAAATGGCGAAGAGCAGCGAAGCGTAGTGAGTTTGGGTGCAAGCTTGCTGAAAAACGCTTTGGCTCTCCAGACGCTAAAAAACTCCGCGGAATTTTTAAATTTTTCTAGGTTCAGCTTCATCGTCCGTCAGAACCGGTGGAACGGACGTCATTAAGGCACTTTTGCCTGCTCGAATCGCTCAAGTACTCGAAATTTCTGGCTGCGTATATCGTACAAGAATGACGAGCGATCGTTGTTCGAAAAAATTCTGCAAAAAGCCATTTTTTTCCGAAAGTCGTATTTTCAAAAACCATGTCTCCAAAAATCAGTATTCGAAGATTATCATTGCTATTTCATAGCCTTTGCGGCCATTTCTGATTGATACCTGCACCGAAAATTTTTCGAAATTCTGATTTTGCAAAACGTTATTTTTCTAAAGAAGGATTTTTGATATACTCTGCCATACCCCCAGGGGGTATACCCCCCATGGGGGTACAAAAGGGGTACGAGGTGGGGGTACAGTGGGGGTACGGGTTGGGGGTACAAAGGGGGTACCCCCACCTTGAACTAAACCTTTTTAAAATTTTTGTGATTTTTTCCACTTAAAACATGTCAGAATTTTACTAAAAACATTATTGAAACTCTTACTATAACGTTACCGGGGGTTTCTGGGTTTATTTCAAAAAGTTTGGTCCCCGATAAACTTTCAACTTAAAAAATGTTTAGTTCGAATTTGTTATTTTATTAACTGCCTTGATACAATTCCAGCTGACTTCGTCATTTCTTGTTGTATTTTTGCGAGCCACCGACATGTGGTATGTGTGGGAGGTCGTTCGAGAAAAATTTGCTGGGGGTTGCTGCTGGGGAGGGGGTACCCCCATTTGTACCCCCACCCGTACCCCTTTTGTACCCCCATGGGGGGTATACCCCCTGGGGGTATGGCAGAGTATAATTTTGACCATACAGTGATTTTCAAAAATTCCATTTTTCGAAAATGTGTCAGTAAATGCATATAATTTCACTTGAATTGAACTGCCCTCAATTGACAACTCCCAAACTCGTCGACTCCCAATTCGACCCATTCCAAGTTCCGGAGTTCCCCCCTATGGACGTCCCGTCGTCTTGGCCCTCCTTTTTGAAGAGAAGAGGTCAGAAGGGGAATGACGGGCCCCTCCATCGGGGGAATACGAAAAAGAAAGAATGGGCCATGGCCACAAGAGGCCCCTAGGGCCACTAGTCCCAAGCCCCCATCCGATTTCTTCTTCTTCCCCCTTCGGCTGGCATAAGCCTCCGTTGGCAGACACACAGCACTCCTGCCTGGGATTATTATTGTTAGCCGGGAGAAGGGGAAGTCGATTCACTTTTGGAGGGCTTCTGGAGTTACATCTCTTTGGGATTCCGAGTACTTTTTGTCATTTTTTGCGCAATGGTGGTACCGTAACCCGGCTGTGGGACCCAGAGGTTCTTGTGTCGAATTGAGCTCTTTTATTTTTTAGGACTGCTGAATTATTGCGTTTTTCACCCAAGGATGACGGCATTTTGCTAGATTGTACCTCCTGGCATCTGAAATGATCTTTCTTCTACCTTTCCCTTTTTTGAAAACGCCGAATGCCCCAGAGCTCGAAAAAATTCAAGGAGCACAAAAATTCTCAGGATTGCTGCTAGCTTATTAGTTTATTTGTTTCCAGAATGCAACTTACGGCAAGATAGTTCTAGTAATTAAATTCAGTAGGTATCGGCTTCCGGGTTGCTCCGGGACTTTCATATTGCAAGTAAGAAAAGATCGACATGTAAGGATCCACCTGATCCCGCTAAAGATGTTTTTTAGGTTGCCCAGGGCCCGGACACGACAGTTTTGTCGAAATCTCCATTTACACGCCGTAATTTATTGCGCCCACATATCTCCTACACTCCTACACGGCGTACTGGTAA